CAAGTTGCATGTTCCACCCTCACATTTTACTCATTAATCAAGTTAGAAAAGAACAAAAAGCAGATGTACCGTACCTTCTTTAAGGATAATGGGAGTGCCTGTTTAGCCGATAGCTTCATAGGAATATCTGATGCCAAAACCGCACAAACAAATTACTGTCACCCAACCATAATAATACAATAATAAGAAAATATCATCAACCAAAAATACGAGTGTTAGTACCATTACTCAATCCAACCGACTTCAGAAAATAGCCCATATCAACAGCATTCGTCTGAGCTTTGATGCACTCTCCATGATTGTGTACAAACCTTTCTTCCGCTACACAACTCAAAACATCCGACTTCCTGACCGTGCTAAGGCCCTGTTTGGCAGCAGGTGGTTTTACAGAATTTGTGACGTCCGTAAGTGGTTTTCTACTGCTAGCTTTTCCCTTCGCAGCTGCCTTTGAGATTTTTGCTCTAACGTCAACAGGGTCTTTCTCGATAGAGATGACATTTGTCGAGTTATCTCTCTTCACGGACTTTAGCGAATAAGGCTTTCTTGCATTTGATATGTCATTGAGAGCTTTCCTTCCAGAAAGATGTTTAGGCTTATTATCTGCTTTTGGTAGATCAGTTTTTTGCCCAGGAGTGGGGCCTGTTCAGAAAAGTCAATGCATGAGCTAACAATATATAACTTGTGTGAAGGTCAACGTAAAATTTGCAGGTCGAGTTACCATTGTAGAGGATATTGAGGTTCTGATCTTGGATCAAACGATGAGCTGGGGTTGCCATATTCCAGTTTACCAATAAAAAGTATTTTCCTGGATACCAAATTGGAACTAGCAATTAAACACTGGGGGAAAAAATCAATGACAAGAATGTTCCACGAAGAAGGGCAGCATTAGTGGTTTACTATTCTGACGAATATTATTCAGTTACGCAAAATACGATAATTATAATTCACACTGAATAGTGTCGAAATTTCATAATTCATCCATAACTGAAATGATTGATAACTATATAATATGGCTTAGTTTATAAACCTACACAATGCAATAGTCAAAGAAACAATGCAGATATGTCACGGTAACACACAACATAGTGCGTAAAACAACCATCCTCACAATACAATGCACAGAAACTCAATAGCTGATGCAGAGTAATAGAAAAAGGAATGTATGAGGTTATTGCTTGGACAAATAAACATACAAATTATCAAAATCATTACAAGTTCTATTATTCCACCTTAGTTAGCGTGAAGAAAACAAATACACAATATCTCTTTCCATATGTAAGCATCAGAAATCGAATATGCGCTCTTAGTAACACCAGTGAGGAGAAAATAAAAAATAAAAAAGGGAAGTGACAATACTTTACCAGAGCTTGTCATCAGTCAGATACTAGTTGCATTAAAATGGGGAATCAAAGCAAACCAAGCTTGAAATTCAAAATAAAAAACTTTGGTACCCTTATTGGTTCTTCATTCTAACACAATTCAATTTCGATTTTATTTGGTTAGACATAATAATTGAAATATTACAACCAATACATGGTTTTGTGTACAATCTTATTGCTAACATTTAACTATTTATTGCTAAAAACATGATTTTCTGAAAAAATAGACCATGAATATAATCAAATGTGTGCAAATTGAAACATTTACATTTGGTTCAGCTTCGAACTTAAGTTTGGCAGAGCAAACCCCAACTTCTTGTTTCGTAAAACACAATTCTTTTAAAATGTTAAATATGCCCAAAATGAAATTGAAAAAAAAAAAAAAAAAAGAGTGGTATAAACATTGCAATGATCTGTTTATCCCCACAAGAAATAGAGTTACATAGAGCAGGAAGAAAAAAAATAAAATTATTTGCATTCTGAACAACATCAATATCTGGCATCTGCATCACCATATTAACGGGAGAATTTAACCGAGTTTGGGTTTCTAACTTTAATAACAGAATATTCAAATGTATACACACCACAATACACAATTAATTTCAAATCATTAGAGATATTTGTACATATTCTTGGACCAAACACGGCAGCATAAAATTCAAGAATCACAATGCACGAGTACCAGCAATTACCATAAACAAATTACTCAAGAAAGACGCATAAAATTCATGTCTTTACACAGATAAACATAAATTGAGTGCCTATGTGCTTACACCATAACCAGAAAAGAAATACCAAACACCTCCTCGAACCCAACACAAACCCTCACCAAAGAGACAATCCAAACAAAAACAGAAGAAAAGAAAATGAGCGTTAACAGTTTAAATGGGTTTACCGTCTGACGAAATTTCTCGATACTGTTGCTGCGATTGTGTAGAGAATTTCTAGCCTTTACCGATTTATTTCTGATACTTTCAGCCAACGCAGAACAATATATTTCTTCGATGTATCAACGGCTATGGAAAATAAGGGCTTTTAATTTGGGGGTTTCCTTCTTTGTTTATTTTTGTAAAAAAAGAGTGAGTAGCAACGGTCAAATTCGCACCTTATTGTGAAAACCCACCCGCTTTCGCCATTATTTACAATCGTGCCATCGCCCTTTATGTTTGGATTGGGCCTTATTGGTTGACCGCGATAGATAGCCCAAGCGTGAGATGGCGTGAGGGTCGGCCACTCGGCCCCGACCTCACGCATTGTGTAAGGCGAATTTACATGTTTATCATTGTACTCATTTTATATTAATTAGTTTGTAATTCGTACAATGCACAGTAAAGATATTATAAACAAAAAATGAACAAGTTGAAAAGTTAATGAAGAATGATAAAACTGATGGAATAAACGATCAGACAATTTAAAAATGAACATGTTGAGTGTCATGCTTTTGAAATCTGCATAATTATCTGATCTGTCTCATGAGTGAAAATCATATAGAATTGTATTTGTTTTTGTACAATTGGAACTCTATGACTGCAAAAGAGATGAACATATTATATGTAAATTCTAACTATCTATCTGAACACACATGTTTATATATGTTTAGAGATCTTATAATTAATTTATTATTTTTTTTCTATGTTATATTACTCAAAGTCCCATGGCATCCTTTGGACATGTTTGCATTCTTTTATCATCATATATATTACTTTTCGTTACGGTTTGTGTGTGCAAGGAGTGAAATATAAAAACAACGGTGCTACAAAATTTTGTAGGTGGTATGAAATGATCTTCGATCGGCTTGGTTCGACTTGATCTGTCGTCCTTATCTATAGTTGACCTTCAAGACCAGCAAGAACTCGACACCGGAGATATTTTCTGGTAAAGAGCTTCCAATTCTTAAATTAGCAAGATGAAGAAGATGATAAATAATATGTAAGTGTTAGAGAGTGTAATGTTCTATAGGACATACCTCACTCCCCTTTATAGGTAGATGTTACCTTATTGCTCAAACTGCCCGAGTGAGCTACCAATACTACCCAATAGCCCATCCATACTGCCCGATCTGCCTAATTCTGTTAGGCCACGTGACCCTATCCACGTGTGGTCTTTATCCTGTTAATATTCCTTCTTATCCATTAGTCTGCTTTATTAGACTGCCTAATCGTGCAACAGGTCCAAATCACGTCGAGGTAGAATACTGCATATGCCAAGCTTGCGTGCCCTATCCTCATGGTCGATCACACGATCGGTCGTACCTTCAGGTCGAGTTTCCACTTGGCCGTCCGAGGGCCCTACGCGACTTGTTGATTTTTATTTAAACCTTTAACGCCTTCCTCGACTTGAAAGCTCCTTGTTCTGTACTGTCGTTCAACCTCCGTTCGATCTACATGTGCTCCTGTTCGGCCAGCCAATCTGCCCGACCTTGTTATTCGATTTATCGGGTTTGTTCTACTTGGTGTGATATCCCATATCATCTGGTCCCCCACTTTGGTCGGGTTAGGATAACTCAATCTAAGAATAAATTTTTGTTCTTGATTCTGGTTGGTGAGTTCCAACTCTTATTTTTCTACCTATATTTACCCTTTAATTAATTTTGTTTCAGAGTCTTCGACCTCCCCTTGGGGTCTTCGTTCAAATTTCAAAATTCAAACTTATGTTTCTTTGTCAAATCCAATCAATCACCAAGTCTTGTCGATGTCATCGCTCCATGATTCACGCTAGCCTTGTACAACGTACCCAGTAAATGCGTCCTTAATGATGACTGTTCGATTCACCTTTAATCCAACGGTTATATTCTTGTTGTCTGTTCAACTTGCCTGCCCGATCTCAGCCGTTGATTACGACCTCGATTCAACGGTTCTGTGTAATCTGCTATTTCGACTTCACCCCTTTTAATCTTGGCCGTTGATTTCAGCCGCCATCCGATAGTCTTTCTCATACCACCTTTCCAGCTCACCCGTGTGATCCTCATCGTCGACCCTGATCCAATGGTCACGGCCGATCGACCTACACGCATTTTTATCTTATAAATACCCCTTTTAACGAAATTTTTGGTTTTTCACCTTTGCAAAATTTTCCTTAGATTTATTTGTGATTTTTTTCTCTTTACAACAAAATTCCCGAGATCTGCCGCGTCTCGCGGGTTTCGCCGCGATCCAACATCTTCTACAAGTTTTTCGAGTAACCCATCCCAATTTTGATAATGAGTAGGTATCCTTCTCTTTCATTTTGTTAATTTTGCATGTTTAAATTCGTGCTTCTTTTTGTCTTTTTCCCCGAATTCGCCGACTTCAACGCTATTCTTCCTCCTCATCTCCTTCTCTGCGAAAACCTAAAAAAATTTCCTTTCCCTTTATTCTTTTTAGATTCAGCCACTTCCAGTGAGGTTTATAGGTTTTCAGGAAAAGATATGACTCTTCCCTCGTCTCCCTCGACCTCTCGGCCTCTGTTTACTCATTCTCCTACCCCCTCTTTGGAGGTCACTCCGCAACCTGCTCCAATTACTTCCATTCCGGCTCCACCCTCTCCAACCTCGTCGAACCAGTCATCTCTCCCTGCCCTACCTTCTCGTCGACCCTAAAATTGGTTGACGATCCTGAGATTAAAGAAAAGATGACTGATCTTTCAGTCTATTCCCATTTTCTTTGCTCCTCTATGCCAAACTTTTATCCTCTCCCACGCTGGTCCATATTCTAGCCTTCGACCTCCTTCTATGCCTGAAGACGCCACAATCAATGAAGAGATCGAGGCAGAAATGCCCCCTCGACCTATTTCTTTCGCTCGGCTTAACAACCAAGTGATTTCACCCAGGCAAACTCTGAGTGGGTAGAGAAAACTTTCAATGTCGTCGGTTGACCTACCGGCTAAGAGTTCGTCGTTCCCCAGCTCTCTAATGTGTACGATCACCCACCTCCCGGGTGTTTTTCTTTCTTTCAAAACCAGGTCGAGCGGGGCCTCCGTTTTTCTATTTGCCAACTGTTTGTCCCATTTTTGTTGCATTTTTCGCTCTTATTTTACGTTTCTTTTTCCCCATATTTAGGTTATTCTTTGTATTGTCGCGTGTTTTCCTTTCTTTTGTCTTATTTAGGAGTCTTGTTTGTTTTTCTCGGTTTTCGGCGTTTTTCTTGTCGTTTGTGGTGCGCAGGTTGGGTGGCTCGGTCGGTTATAAATTTCAAGAAGAAATGGCCGAGCAAAATCAATTATCTAGAAGGATGAGTTGGGGTCGAAAGGGAAAAGACGAAATTCAATTCCGAATCTGGACGCGTGTGTACGAGCCCGAGAACCGCAACACCTAAATTCCTTCACCGCGGGCCGCGATGGTATCCCACGGCCGCAGGGAGGTGTTCATTATTGCGCCCAGTTTTCTTCACCGCAGTCCGCGAGGTGGTTCCGCGGTCGTGGGACAGTTCTGCGGTTGGAAATTCGCGGCCGCGGAGCATTTCTTCGCCGCGGTCGCGGAGGCCGCGATTTTCTAAGTTTTAGAGGATGGTTTCAGAGGGCGAAAAAGGAGGAAAATTTAAATTCCTTTGGTAAAAAACGAAGGCTAGGGCTTGGGAAGGATCATTCTGGACTTGTTTTATTTCCTTTTCATCTCAAAACACTTTTCTTATTTAATTTTCACTTAGATTCTCTTGGTTTGTCTTGGATTCGACTTTTGGAGATCGTGATACTCTAAAACGAACGCGATTCGGATTGTCTTTTGATTTCTCGACTTGGATTATTCGTAAGTTCCTTTCATTTGATTATGGATGTGAATTATGGTTTTGAATCTTTTGTTGTGATTGATATCAGTATGAGTGGCTAACTCATTTGGTTAGGGAAAGGAGATATTTGATTTGGTTTGATTGAGTTTAATGTGCTTGTTTGTCGTTCAATCTATTCGAGTTGTACTTAATCTAGGGTTAGATGCTTGATCACCATCATAATCTAATTAATCGATTTGTAGAACCGAAAGGGGAGAAATTGATCAATCTTGGCTGTGGAATAGGCTTGTTCGTTAATGTATTGCCTATGTGTTAAGTGTTTCAATAATTGATTTGTTCATGTTTGTTCTCTTGTTACGAGAAGTTATTGAGAATAAACCTCTAAATGAGTAGGTTATTTGATCCCTTAACCGAGCGACTGTGTGCTCATTGATTGCTTGAGAACCATAAACGAATATCTCTGACTCCCTAACCCCCGCATCATTATTTGAACTTCGTTGGAATTTAAAATTTGTTTTGCTATATCTCATAATTCTTAGTCATTAATTGAAAACCCAACCAATTGAATTTGAGTGTTTAGGAATTTGTTTTCTCTTTCGTGTTATTGAATATCCGTACAAATAGCCCGGCTGACCTTTCTTGCGATACGACCCGGGGATTGAATCCTTTGATTTAACTCCGGTAAAATTACAACAATAAAATGACGCCATTGTCGAGGAAGGTTTAGGATTTATTTTGTACGCTTATTCATTTTGTCTTTCGTGTTTCTCTCATTTCTTATGATTTCTTGTTTTTGTGTTTCTTTTTGTTCTCTAGTAATTAGTCGATCTTTTAGATTGTTTGCCATTTACTCTCTTTTATCTATCTGGTGCTCGTGACGTGTTGTTTGTCTTTGTTTATGCGTACTAGGAGTGGTTGTGTAATCATCCCGAACGACGAATCCATCCATAGGGATCTATGAGACTTTTTAACCAATCTTGCTCTTGAATCATCAGACTCAGACAACCGAGACTCGGACAACCGAAGCAGTATGGCACACAACGGCGAAGAGGAAGTAAATAACCCCCCTCGTTATCTTCTTCGTGATTTGGCCCAACCGGTGATCGGCCGGTGACTTCCTGCATCCGACTAGGACCAGCAGCTCGGAACTACGAGCTCAAGACAATCCACTATAACCAACTTCCATCCTTTCACGGTCTACCCAACGAGGACCCACTCCAATTCATACGTGAGTTCTACAATGTCCTCCAAACCTTTCCACTCCACGGGCAATGAGGAACAGTTAAAAATGAGGTGCTTTCCGGAAACGCTCAAAGACCGGGTCAAGGCTTAGTTTATGACACGTGCTCCAGACTCTCTCATCACTTAGGAGCAAGTGTACTCAAAGTTCATTGGGAGGTACTACTCCCATTAAAAGACACAGGAGCTCCGGTCACAAATTATCTCC